ACAAAAAACATGTCATACCAAGATAAAACTCTAAACCAAATCAACCTAGACTGTTCAGACTTATTCCATACAGAGTAAGAACAGTCAGCAAGGTTCTTTCAAGGTGGAGTCACTTAGATCTGAGGCTTGCAGGGGTTAATTAAAGTAACAACAACCAAGAAACAGCTAATATCAATAGATCAATTTGTGCAATCTTGGGTTAAGAAAATTGCTCTGCTGTAGAGTCCCACTTTAACTTCATACTATGTTGCTGAAAGTAGTTGAGGAGTTATTAAAACTAGTTGAGTATACATAGTTGAGGGACACATACATTCTTCATAACAGTAGTTTTCTATTAAGTATGATGTCTCCAAAATAATGGCTTGCACCAAAAATGTAGTTAGATCCTGGTGGCCAGGCTGTTCTTTTGAAGTCTATGCTGCTTACCCACGTGATGGGAATATCAGTAATTGTTCTAGATAATAATAGTAGATTTCTCTCGCATTTAATTAGAGAGGTAATACCTTGAAACTGCAGTTCTAACTTCCATGGTTTACTGGCTTTAGATATCTAGTGTGCATTTATTCCTACAGGGTTGCAGGATTTTCAAGGATTCCAATATGGCTTTCAATGGTGTCAATCATCTTCTTAGAAAGAATTCAAGTTGGTTTTATATATATATCATGTGTTCTCACAGACCTCTGATAACTAGCCTAGTGCTTTTTTCCAGCAATCCAAACTGTCATTAAAATAAAAATATTAACTACCAGTTTTGAGACTGATTTTGTGCTAAGTACTATACTTTTATGGTCTCATTTTTTTTGCTTTACCAGAAAACCATCACCCTGAAAATGTATTATAAAACAAAAACGTGGAGATTCATATTTCTAAACAAAATCAATGCAAATCTGGGTGCACAGCAACTGATAGAGCCCATGTTGAAATCTGCTTTCTTGTTGTGACACATATATGTGCCTGGAAGATTCCACTTACAGTCATGGTTTTTACTTTAATATCTCATAGTAGATTGATGAAATAATACAACCAGTATTTCAGATTGAGTTTTTAAGGAACATTTAACATTCCTTAGCACAAGAAGTTCCATTGTAAAGGATCAGATATATAAGCTCTCAAAAGTCACAATTCTATTTCTTCTTTTTTTTTAAGGTTTTATTGGGGAATTGGTGGGCCAGCCGAGTTGCTTACTTGGTTAAGAGTTAGCTTAAGAATGCAAGCTCTGAGCAACAGGGCTGCCAGTTCGATTCCCACATGGGCCAGTGATGATGTGCCTGAGCTGAGCTGCCAACAGGTGGCAGGATGACTCAGCTGGTGAGAGCATGTGCTCCTAACAACAAGACTGCCTGTTCAAGATAGTGGGCTACACCCGCCCACAATTAAGATTGAACTCGGCACCTTGAGCTGAGCTGCTGCCCGGATGGCTCAGTGGATAGAGTGTGCGCTCTTAACAACAAGGCTGCCGGTTCAACTCCTGCATGGGATGGTGGCTACGCCCACCTGCAACTAAAATTGAACACAGCACCTTGAGCTTAGAGGCCACAAGCTGCCGAGGGGCAGCCAGATGGCGACTGGCACCCTCCGCAACTAAGACTGAAGAACAACTTGGCTGGTCCCCTTCCCCAATTCTCCAACACTGTTCCCCTCCCCCAATTCCCTAATTTATTTTTTTTTAAGATTTTATTGGGGAATTGGGGAAGGGAACAGCCAAGTTGTTGTCCTTCAGTCTTAGTTTGGAGGGCACAGCTAGCTCAGCTCTCAAGCCCAGTCACCATCCAGCTGCCCGACAACAGCTTGTGGCCACTCAGCTCAAAGTGCCATGTTAAATCTTAGTTGTTAAGATTTAACATGGGAGTCGAACTGGCAACGTTGTCATTTAGAGCACGTGCTCTCACCAGCTGAGCCATCCTGCCACCTGTTGGCAGCTCAGTGGCAGCTCAGCTTGGGCACAGCTCACTGGCCCATGTGGGAATCGAACCTGCAACCCTTTTGCTCAGAGCTCATGCTCTTAACCAACTGAGCCATTCAGCCAGCCCCAAAATTCACAATTCTCTAGTAATTGTAAAACTAGGAATTTACCCTAAATATATGCTTGTAGATATGTTATTCATTGCACCTTATTTGCTATAGCTAAAAAATGGAAATAACCCATGTGTCCATCAATAATTAACTCATAAGTGAAACTAATCCGTAGAGTAGTATGCAACCATTAAAAAAAAATTAGGAAGTTCCAATAAAGACCAATTGCCAGGGCTGCCGGTTTGCTCAGGTGGTTAGCACGCAGGCTCATGGCACCAAGGTTGCCAATTTGGGTCCCGCGTGGTCCACGGAGCTGTGCCCTCCACAACTAGATTGAAGACAACTACTTGATTTGGATGTGATGGGTCCTTGAAAAACACACTGTTCCCTAATAAAATTTAAAAAAAAGAAAAAAAGAAAAAAAAAGGAGCAATTTCCAAGGTGTGTTAAATGAAAAAAGCAAAGTTAAATAAAACAAAACTGGAAGGAAGGAGGAGTGTATGTACATGTGTATCCACCCATTCATACTGTACTGTACACACATGCATTTGCTTGTGTGTATACAGAATGACTCGTAGAGATCTCCGAGAAGGGTAACTGGTTACCTATGAGAAGGCAACTTGGGTACTGGGGAACACAGATGAGAGGGAAAGTTTTCAAGGTCTCCCTTTTTAACCTCTTGAACTTTGAGACATCCGTTTATTTATTTCTCAAAGAAATATAATTAAAAACCTTAAAGTAATAATGTCAGGAAAAGGGAGTGTGAGAGACTAGAAATAGATCAGATGATAATAATTGAACTGATCTCAGAGGAAATAACCTGTAGATTCTAATAGTACTGACTCCACTTTTTAAACTGAATTTCCATTTCATTTCACTAAAATTATCCTCCTGCAGAAATGATGCCCTTGGGCCAATAAAAATGAATACTACAATAGGCAGCATAAATAGGCATAAACTATTTAAAGGGTGAGCACTCTGAGGTTTATCATTTGGGAAGTTAGTGGATATTATTGGATTAGATGGCTTCATAGGGCATGTCTTCCAAGTTTTAGGACTTAGTGAATCTATATAGAATGTCAGTAATCTCAAATTTAATAAAGGAATATTAAATTGTGCCAATACCCACTGCTTTATGATACTCACAGAAACGGAAGCGGAGTGTTTATATCTGACATCGTGAAAGGTGGAGCCGCAGACCTCGATGGGAGATTGATTCAGGGAGATCAGATCTTATCTGTGAATGGGGAGGACATGAGAAATGCCTCACAGGAGACAGTGGCCACTGTCCTCAAGGTGAGTCCGGAGGCAGCTTTCTGTCTTGCTGGCACAACTGAAGTCCAGTGGGAATAGTTTTAGTCTAGCTTTGTTGTAAAGTCTGTAAAGCCAACTCTAGTTTTTACCAGAGATCTAATCTCTGATTATTTTAACTAACTGGGAATAGCTTTAAAAGACAGCTGTTATATTGACTAGCAGGATTGAAAATAACCCAACTTTGGGATTTCTAAGCTATATTTTCATACTTGTGAAAATTCCAAGTATCCACAATTGTCCTAGTCTAAATGCATTTGACGGGATGGGCTCTCCTGGAGTAACAAAATTCATCCTCCCTCTATGGCTATGTCAGGGAGCATATTACTGTGGCTTCATCAAATGCAGCATTTATTGTTTGAAGGAATGTTAAGACTAACTAGACCAATTCCTCCAATTTCACAAGTAAAGTTTGAAAAGTAGAATGGTGTGCCCAAGATCATAACATTCTGCTTGAGTGGTTTCTCTACCACCCAAGCTGTCTCACTGAAGTTGTAGAGATGCTAAGGTTCAAAATTTACTTCCAAGTGTCTCTGCCACCTCTGGAAGAAACTGGTTAATAAAAATTCTTGTAAATTTCCATTCAACTATAACCAGATGCATTTTATTCTGTTTCACAAATAGCCACAAAAGCTTTTGCAAAAACAAATGGATTTGTTTATTTTAAAATCCTGATTTCCTAATGTAGTCACCTCTCACTTAGTACTCAAGAGAGGATTTATTTGTCTTTGTTAGGTTACTTCTGTCTTTGATTTTTCTGTATTCCTTTTCACTTTTTCTTAGTTATTTCACTGCTCATTAGAAGGGGAAAGGGAGAGAAAAGAGGTGAATTGAAATGTAATTCTTTAAAGAAGTCATGAAATCTTGAAATGAATACCATTTAGTTCATTCATTTTTGTTATTTTGTATGATTTTTTTTTTGATGACTGAATTTCCTTTGTGCCCATTGCATTCATCACTCATTCATAATTCTTTGCTGCAGAGATGAGAGGAGGCTCTGCTGTGATAAGTTAGAACATAAAGGCTACTGTTTTTCACTTCTGGTTTTTTCTTGTGTTCCCAAGTGTGCCCAGGGGCTTGTGCAGCTAGAGATTGGAAGACTCCGAGCTGGTTCCTGGGCCTCCTCAAGGAAGACATCACAGAACAGTCAGGTTGTTGATGGCTTCCTGTCAGACTCACTCTCTGTCCCCGTTGGGAGAAAGTCCCCATTTCAAGTTTGTTTGGAAATAATGTGTAATATGCAGCATATTCACAATACCAAGTTCAGTGTATTTTAATGTGTTCAAACTAAAAATGAAAGGCAGGATGGAAATTTATTAATCCCTAGATTTTTCTCTCCTTTATTGCCTGCAAATGTTTTCTTAGGACCACTTTTCTCCCCTACTATTAGTTCTATATTGCCTATGCATGCATGTACACAGCTGTGTTTATTTTAAAAAAAAAAAACGAAAGAAAGAAAGAAAGAAGCAACATCTGGTGGCAATTTGACCCTCATTAGCACAACATTGTTCTATTCATTCAATTAAATATTGCTATAAAGTTAACTTGTGAATAGCCACTCACACATGCTGAGGGCAATTAATGATATATTCCTAGGAGAGTGAAATGTGAGGGGTTCTCCTGTGGGAGGGAGGCCCACATGGGTGATATTTTGTGGGTTAGCAAACATCTTCTGTTTATTTGCAAGGCTGATGTAAGTGCCACTTTTTTTTTTTTAACAAAGCTTATTTCGCTGTTTTGTTTCATTTTGTTTTCATTGTAATGGCTGAGAAAAATCAAGATGGTAGACTATATGTTTAGTCCCATTTGGTATATAATAAAACTACAGAAGCTTACATGTTGCTTCCTGTTCCCCTTTGTGGATTATAGATGGGCCTTTGTTTTGAGGTTAAAAGCATGACTTGTGGCCCCCTCCCTAGTTGCTTTAGACCTAAAGCCTTTCCAAGACCTTTGTTCAGAAGACTCTGATTTTGTGGTTAGAACACGTGCTTCTGAAATGCTATTAGCTGTCACCTTTGCCTCATTGGTGTTAGAAAATGAGTGAGGAAAAATACCATGGTTCAGATAGTATCACAGACTAGCTGGCCTGTCTAAGAGAACTCTCAAAGCAGTCAAACCCAATAGACATCATGTTAAGTTGAGAACTTTTTTTTTTTTTTCATTTCTGTGTTATGTAACGGGCAGCAAATATCACGTGTGCTAAGACACACTGCTGCAGTGGGATTCCAGGAGTGAATGGTTGGTGATGATTCTGAGAGACTTGAATCAACAGTGGCAACTTGGAATGCAAAATAGTTGTCTCAGCTTTTCCTTTGTGGAAGATTCATTTGTCGAGTGATGTCATTAAAGCCTCATTGTACACAGGAGGTTAGCATGCAGAATGAACAATAGTGGAGATGAAATTTATTCTTCCTGGAGCATACATGAGGGCTACACAGCCAAGGTTCCACTGGGTCTTATTCCAAAACGAGTTTGATAGTTTGAAAGGAAGTAGAAGGCATCCCAGACAGAGGGCGTAGCATATGCAAAGGCACAAAGGAGTACACGGAATTCCAGTGTTTTAAGAAAAGTTTGGACTGAGAGGTGAGGTGGTGGGATAGAACTGGATTTCTGTCCTTGAAGACTGTCTTAGTAATGAATAAAGTTCATACTCAGGTTAAATACAGAGCTAACAAGTTTAGATGCTCTATCATTAAATGTCAACAAAACCACCATTACCATATATCTGGTATATAAATGTGAGCTGTCATATTTTGGAAACCAGGGACAAAGTATCATTTACTTTATTTCACCTTGTACAGAATTTTTATTTCAGGGGGTAGAAGTTTAATTCAATTTTTAGAAGAACAGTAAGTATGGCTTATCCTTACTTGGTCCTTCAAATTATGGCTGAGATGACGCAAGAGTCTGCACTGATATTTGACTAATTGGAAGAAGGCTTGTAGCTGGCTATGAAAAGGAAGCGTCCTCCATCATCAGTTCAAGACCAGCCCATGACCCAGATGGAGGAAAAGAGGATCGATCCCATTCCCAAACATTTCATCTCTTGACCCAAGACCCTCTAGGGACACAGATTTCTTTCCTAAAATAGGAAGGTAGATGCCTTCTTTTGAATGCCAAGGAGAATTTTTAACTCGTTGACGTGGCCTAGAGAAAGTGGGTTCATTAAGAGAGATCTTCTAGCATTGGAGCCTCTTCTTTCAAAATGTCTTTTCCTGCCAACCAGGAACAAGTGTCTCTATTCTGCAGAGGCAAGTGTGTAATAGAAAAAACACTTGAGCAATCTTGTCCTCATATAACTGAGGGAACACTGCCAGGCAAAGTCCATATTTATAAAGGCCTTGGCAAACACATTGTTCTGAGATTTTTTTTTTTAGGCAAAAGTTATATTCTGTACTTCCTCAATTCAGTATAGTTATCTACGTATTATGGCATCATTGATTTAAATCATATCCTTTCAGAAAAAATATAGGGAAGTGTTCAGCATGGGGCTTGGAACCACAGGTTGCTCAGCCTGCACTTAGGGGGTGAGGTACAGTGGGCTGTTCAAGTCTTTGAAGAGCTTACTTTAATAAAGTTTTGAAAATCCATAAAAAAGGGAAAAGTATAAAAATACTCCTCTAAGTGTATATATTCATTGTGAAATGTACTGTTCATACCTTACTTTGAATTTTTTTTAAAGACCAATTGAGTGATGAATAAATTAATGGGTATGTGAAGAGGACAGTATAGCAAAATATTAATTGTAGAATCTAGGTGTGTGTATGGGTGTCTACTGTATAATGCTTTTAACTTTTTATAGTCAAAATTTTATATTAAGGAGTGCTAAAATATTAAACAACTTGCATCATAGAACTAAGGAAGTGGATCAACTTATAATTTATCAAGTGATAATTGTGATCTTAGGTTTAGCTTAAAATTTGAGACAATTAGACATAACCTGGATAGTTTGGAAGAAAACAATTGTTCATTATTGGTAACATTGTGTTCTACGTTGGAAAGGTCCTTCATTACGTATATGAGTTTCATTGAATAGCCACTAACCATACGTGACTATACATTGTAGACGTCAAATATTTATTTGAATGGATAAAAGGACAGTAATGGAGGTACAGCAGATTGAGCTGAATTATTACTGACTCTAGGAAAATCTTTGAGAAAAAAATTAACATATTACTAGAATAGAGCAACATATTCCCTTGACATTTACTGCTTTCTCCTGTAATTGAGGATTCCATTTGGTTCCATTACATGGTTATAGTTGTTGCTCCAGCAATTAAAATACTAATAATATGTATAAATTTTTAAGACCAAGTCAGTGTTTCAGCACAGCTGACCTTTGGGTTTCCTTTTCAGGGGAGTCAGCAAAGCACTCACAGCAGCTTGCCTCCTTCCCTTGCTCCTGTCATCACCAGCCTTCAAAACCTGGTCGGCACAAAAAGAACTTCAGATCCTTCCCCCAGAAATTCAGGTATTTCTTGGACACACCTCAAGCAAAGCCATCCTATTCCCAATTTTTTTTTAATATTAATATTTTTAAAAACAATCTTTCACCTTTAATTAAAATATTTTTTAAATCTTTGAACTTGGCCACATAAGCTCCAAGGTTTCTAACAGACCTTCTTTCTCTGAAGGAAGTAAAGCCATAGAGATTCATTTTTGGAATGTGCCTTTAACTTTTGCACCAATCACATGAAAAGCAGAAATTTGAAACACTTCTTAAAGTCAAACCATTTACAAAGAGAAAGTTTTAAAATTATAGATCATTCAAAGAAGGTCAGAAGTGTGTGTACCATTAGGGTGGGGCATAGCAAGGGTCTTTTAAGCCTTTCCTTGGGTAGAGCATTATCTTTGATTAAGGCAGACAAATGTACAGTGAAACAAAATGGCTTACCCTTCAAGCCATTTAATCACCATATTCCAGGCAGCTACTGCTACAGTCCCATCAGTTTTTGTCAGACCAAATGATTATGGCCGCATCTGTCTCAGGCAGACAGGATGTCTTTGAAATAGAAGACATAGCCCCTGATCATGGCTGCCAGTTTGGATTTTGAGAAAGGGTGTAAAGCCTGCTTTCTTCAGTATTCTCTCTTGAAAGCCCTAGAAAATGATACATTTTCAATGAGACAATATTATTGCTTAAATTATTATCTCTTAATTTTAAAAAGCTATTTGTGCTACTTCTTTATTTGTAGGCACAGATCTGGGACCAAGGACTGTTGAGATAATCAGGGTAAGTCAGTTACTTTTGCTATTTTTCTGGTTTGTGTTGGATATGCATAAAATATACATTTTCCCCTTAATATCATTTGTTGGATTGCTACTGAAAAAGTTGAAGTTACTGAAAAAATTTGTGGTCTATATAATGTAAACAGACTTAGAAAAATACACTAAAATGTATAGATGACCACTGTGAATTTTTTGGTACATCCTATCCACTACATTTTGTGCATGAACTTTAAGTTTTACAAAACAAAAAATGGTATAATATTAAACATACTCTTGTAGCTTTTTTCACTTTAAAGCATGAACTTTTAGTCATGCCAATAAGTATTTTTTGAGAGCATAAAGCATGGTTTTTATTGGTTACATAATATTCCATCACGTGAATGTGCTGTAATTTTCTTAACTAGCTTCCTCTCATAAAACAATTAGCATGTTTCTCAACTTTTGCTATCTTTTATAGTAAAATACCTTTGTATTTTCTTTTTTGCCCATATCATGGGTGATCTCCTCAGAATTAACTCCTAGAAATGAAATTGTTGAGTCAAAAGCCACACTTGTTGTTAAAGACTTGTATACATATTGCTAAGTTGCCCTCCTGAGAAGATTGCGTAATACACATTTTACTTCATAAATTTGTCAAGTCCTGATTTTCAAACTCCTGTGTGATATTCAGAATGTTGGAAAGTAGTCTTCTGGTTTTTTTGTTGTTGTTGTTTTTTTTAAGTTTTTTTTTATTGGGGAATTGGGGGGATGGGAACAGTGCTGGGGAATTGGGGGAAGGGGAACAGACAAGTTGCTGTCATTTTGTTCTTCAATCTAGTTGTGGAGGATGTTGCTTCACTGGCCCAAGTTGGCACCATCATTGCGCTCTTCTCTGACAAGGCAGATCAGTCACCGGCTTCTGGACGGCCGCTCACTGCGGCTGCTGGCCGCTCACGCTGGCTGCTGGCTACACACGGTAGCCCATGGCAATCCACTGCCACAGGGACTGCAGTCCACGCTGTCGCCGGCGACTCATGGCAGGCCAGCTCCAGGTTGAGCTGTTGTTCAGCATCTTAGCTGTAGAGGGCAGTGTCACTGGCCCTCATATGTGGGATCCGAACCGGGGCCCTCTGGCGTCCCAAGCGAGTTCTTAACCATCGCGCCACTCGGCCGGCCCAGTAGTCTTCTGTTTTGATCACTTTGACCAATAAATTTGGGATTCAAGAAGTCATTAAAAAATATATATTATATGACCTTGTTGTAATCATAGTTTGACCATAGTGATGTGATATCCAGCGTAGCTTAGTTCTCTGGAGTCAATCATAGCTGTGTTTGAAGGCACTCTACTATTTATTAGCTGTATGACTTTTGACAAGTTACTTAACCTCAATTTTCTCACCTGTAGAATGGCGATGATAACACTATTTACCTCACACAGTAAATATTGTTGTGTGAATTAAATGAGGTAATGCATAGAGTATGTGTCGCATAGTACCTAGTGCATCATGAAGTCCAGGAAGTGGCATCCATTATTATCGGCTATAGCTTTGACTACATTTGTTCCCAGTATCTTTCCACCAGAGTGGCAACTCAGATTCTCCTATAATGGGGGAATTTAAATGTACCAACATGTGCATCATTATAGGTAAAGTAAGGAAACATCATGATGGAATTAAACAAAGATGAATTATTACATGAATTTCTCCTTATTCCAAGATTTATAAAACATCATTTTATGTTTCCTTGGTCATTTTAGCCATTTGTTATCACAGGCCTTTATAAAAAGGCCTGCTCCTACCAACTCTATTCTCCCATACCCGATCCAAGCAGAAAAATCATAATGAAACATTTTGCACACAGGGCTTTACTATTGGATGCATTCAGAAAATATAAGCTAGACACAAGTACTTAGGAAAACAGGATATAAGCTACCTATTACTGGAGAGGTCAGCATAACATGGCAGCACTCGTAATACATATTATTAGTAATAAAAAATAATTCCTCACTCTTATGAGACACGAGTTTTTAAAGTTTTTTTTATATATGGTTTTTGTTGTCATTTCTTCTTTTCTATTTTCCCAACTTTACTGAGTTCAAATTGAAGCACACTCAGCTGTGTGTTTTCAAATGATCAGTTCAAACTGCAGAAGCCTGGCGACCACACAGGTCCCTTTGCCGCAACCACTGCCATAGTTGTCATATATTTATATCTATGTAAACTGAGAACCCAACAAACAGCGTTATAATTTTTGCTTTTAACTATCTTACATAGTATAAAGAATTTAAGAAAATGGGTCACGTTTTCCTGGTATTTTTGCACGTCTGGTAATTTAGGGTTTTATCCTGGACCCCGGGAACCTTATTCCACATAGACTCTGAAGAATGCTGATGTTCATGTGTTAGGATGCAATCAACCCAGTGAGGTTCAGACCGCAAGTTCTGCCGCCCCTTTTGTGGGTGAAGGTTCCGTCCTCTAGGTTAGGTCTATTTTACACACATGTGTATAGCTTAGAATTGAGCCTGAGAATTCTGTGGGTTCACTCCCAGAGGCTGAGGATCCCTTCTCCAGCTGTCTCTCCTCTAAGTTTTCTTCCTTTATGCCCCTGCTGCCAGGGGCTCCTTTACCTGGTTCCTCTGACCAGAAAGATGGGAGTTCCTTTCAGAGCACAGTGTGTACCATCTCGACTGCTCCTTGCCTGTGTCTCACCCTCAGGACTGTGCTGCCAGGAAAACAACAGGGACAGTCATCCCTGCTGTCATTTCTCCAAGTTTTGACTTTCCATCACAGTTTGAGCTTCTTTACTTTTCAGAAGCCTCAGGTAGTTGCTTTTTGTGTTTTGACAAGTTCTTCATTTTAATCAGCAGGAGAGAGATGCTATAGTGTGCACATGCCACCATGCTGAATCTGGAACTTGTCATTTGTTCTTTTAGTGATTTTAAAAATATTAACCCTGTGATAGAACTGTGGGGAAAAACCTGGACTAAAGCCAGGATCTCTTCACTGGAGCCTGAGTGAACGATGTTGCCTCACCTAATAATCTTTGGGAACATTTCCAGTCACATTTAACTTCTCTCTCCAAACTCTGTTGTCATTATAGTGAGTGTCCTCTAAGATCCTTTGTTATAATGCAGGCCTAAAGCTCTCTTAGAGCCAAGTATGTTTGTTCACACCCCAAAGAGCATGATATGTGTGGCAGTTTAATTATAAACACCATATGAAAACATACTTGCCAAGTCTGCCTCAAAATTGGCCACTAAACTGAGCAGTTGCACAGGGTTTTTTATGTGTGTGTTTTGTTGTTGTTATTGTTTTACTTGTACTGTTGCTTTTTGTTTGTTTGTTTGTTAAGAAATTGTATTGGGGAACAGTGTGTTTTTCCAGGATCCTGATCAGCTCCAAGTCAAGTAGTTGTCTTCAAACTAGTTGTGGAGAGTGCAGCTCCTTGGCCCATGTGGGAATTGAACCGGCAACCTTGGTATTATGAGCCTGTGCTCTAACCAACTGAGCTAACTGGTGTCCCTGTACTGTTGCTTTTTACTGAGCCTTTTCTGTAGGCCAGGTCTGCACTCTATCATCTCATTTAATCCTCAAGCAAATACTGTCAAGTAGGCCGTATTCTCCCCATCTTATGCCTAGAGATGAAAGCCCTAAGAATTTAAGGAACTTCCTGAAGATCCCACCCACCCGCCAACTAATTAAGGGCTAGAGCTGAAACACAGGTCTTTCTGATTCCAAAGGCCCTGCGTTTAACTCCTATGTTACCCTGGCCTCCTGCATCACAGAGCCTTTTGTTCAGCGGCTATTGGGACAATCAGGTTGTGGCTGTTTATTAAATATGTGTTATGTTTTGCTTCTTTTTTTTAGGAGCTCAGTGATGCCCTTGGAATCAGTATTGCTGGAGGAAAAGGAAGTCCCCTAGGAGATATCCCAATATTTATTGCCATGATTCAGGCCAACGGTGTGGCTGCACGTACACAGAAGCTTAAAGTAAACAAAAGGGGAATGGCGAAGTGCTAACAGCATGTGGTGGGGTGGGAAAGGAAGTTGCAGCCATGGGCACTTTGTTTAAAGTTAGAATTCCAACAGCCATCAGAGACCCATGCTGAGGGCAAAATGCACTGGAGAAAGTTTTATACCTGAAATTCATTAGGTCCCTGGGCATATAAAAATATTATTGTTTGTATCAAAGCTTCTCGATGAAAGAAGAAATTGCAGCTCATTAGCAAAGCCTCCCATACCGGTTTTTTTTTCTTTTAGCACCTCAAGTCTACCCAAAATTGATTTTCACCTAAGAGAGATTTGACCATACACTCTTCCTTCAACCAAAAGAATCAACATTCTTATGATTTTTTTCCACCTTGCCCCTTAATCTTAAGTAGAAAAATAAGGCAGAAAATATTTGGCTTCCTCATTAGAGCTTTATTGAACAGTTAATTTGTACACCCCACTATTCCTGGCGAATGGATGGATGAAACACCACCATTACCAAAATACAAAAGTGGCCTGCCGTGCCTTTTAATCATCAAATCTGACCCCCTTCTTGTTTCTCTGATTGGTCTGTATTTGGGGAAAACCATAAAAATTCCTCATGCTCCTGGAACCTGCACACACCGTAGAAACTCGGAATCTTCACAATAGCCACAAATGGGAAATAGGACTTACAAAGAATTTTAAGCATTCTTCTCAAATTTAATTTTTCTTAATGATAGTGATTTTCTACCACTTTTGTACTTCCAGGTTGGAGATCGGATTGTCAGCATTAATGGGCAACCTTTGGATGGGCTGTCTCACGCGGATGTGGTTAATCTGCTGAAGAACGCCTACGGTCGCATTATCCTGCAGGTACCGCGATCAATGGAACACGCAGCTGCACAAGGCAGATAAGTGGCGTGCAAAAAAGATTGAGCGTCACTGGCAGTAGGCATCACCGCCCAGCAGGGTGCTTGCTGATGTGAATTATGAAGGTTGAAAGCAAGAAATTATTATTTTTATTCAGAAATTCTTTAATGCCACCCATACAGGCAGTGAGCATGATTATATGAAAGCCTAACAAGGGGAGAAAAATTACTCTTTGCTTCACGTGATAAATCAACAAGGCTTTTAGCTTGCAGCGTTCTTTTGTAAATCCGAGTTTGCAAGGAATAGGAAATGATTTCTTTTCTTCTGCCCAAAAACTGTTACTGAACTGCCCAAGTGCTGTTTCTTCCACTCCCTTTTAAGAAAGGGAGCCATACAATGCCCTTTTCCCGATAGCATAAGTGATCGCCAACACTGTTAAATTCTCTCTGCGTAGTAGTCATCAGCCAGCGCAGACAATTATTTATCAGCTGTGGTCCCCGTGAGTATTGTCCAGAGGCACAGAGAAATATACCAGGAAGTAAAAACAAGGTGTGATGTTAATTACCTCTCCTTATATTTTCAGCACTTCAAATGTCTCTGAGATTGATATCTTGCAGTGAGTGAGAGGCAGCATACTGGCAATGAGTTTCATTAATGAGTTTCTCCCAAAATGTATGATAATAATCACCATACTTCGGCATGCAGTGGTAGTATTACATGGCTTATAGGTAAAGAAGAAGAAAACCTACTATTTAGTACCTTAGAAAAAGGGCTAGCCAGCCCCTCAGATCATTCTAGCCTTAAAGTAATGTTTGAATTGAAAAAAACATTACTTTTGGAAGAACCAATCTGTGGGGCTTAACGCTCACATCTCAATGATCTAAGTCGAAAGTGCCAAAACAGACATTAAAAAAGTAAATGGCTTTCTGAATGTATGAAGGGAATCATAAAAATACTGTCAGTGGCTTCAAGGGAGTTTATGTGATTGGTAACATATTATTCAATTATTTGGGTCCCCAAGTTTCTGTTGACACAAACCAAAACCCTACGTGGACTGGCTGTAGAGTCCACTTCCTCTTTTTCAGTGAAAACTTACATAGTTAACCTCACATTCCTCCCTCTGCCATCGTCAGTCTGTAAAGCCTTAGCTTTCTCTTGTTTGCTGTGCTTGTTTTCCCTTCAAATTAGACTGACCCCTAGAGGCCCTGCAAGTACAACTCTTGAACCTGAGATCTCTGGACTATTAGTTATACAGAATTTTAAGAGGAAGTTATTTTAAATGATAACCATAACAAGACAAAAAAGTATTTTCCTTAGCAAAATCTGGTACTATTGATATTTTCATACACCAGTATAATTTGTTTAGCTCGCTTCTTCACAAAATGAGAGGACCAGTGTAAAAGTGTAACATTAACTATAAAAAGTACCTTAAATGAAAATGAACTCGCGCTCTCCCATGCAGAATTAATACATCATTCAGCCAAAATGACACTATAAACATACTTTTGAAGGAGTTCCCTCAGTTTCCCTATTTCTGCATTTTAAAAAGAAAATGACATTTGGTTTCAAAATGTTCTCTTGCATTCATCACATTAGTTGGTGCTATTTGCTAACATGTGTTATTAAAAGCTTAATGGAATCCTTTGGGATTTTGACAGTTGTAATATACATAGTTATGGGTATGGAGCATATGTGCTACCAAAGGCTGTAGACACAAAGCCCAGGAAACTCTTATGTCCTGCATCAGATGCCTTTCAGTTGCATAGTGTATTTGCTTTAATTAAAACAATGTGCAGGAAGTAGTACCAGCAATACAATGATCACAGTTGACTGGTCATGAGGTAATTATTTTTATTATCGGGTGAGCCAGCCCATTGGCAGAATACTAGTAGGGGAGGTCAGATAATTGTGTCTGATGATGTGGAAAAGACTTATCGTCAATGTGTCATGCAAAGCAGTCAGCAGCTGCTGATTGCACAGGGAAGATTAAGGCCTGGGTCAGCAGACTGCAGGGTGGAGAAGGGGAAAAAAGTGAAAGAGACAGCCAACACTTCTGGAAGCTTCGACCAACAGTTTAAATTGCTATCTCTAGATATAATAAGGAAGTAGATATTTCTCCCCTTAACATCTGATGGTTTCTTATTCCTAATTATCAATTGATTAGCAGAGATTGATTTGGTTATGAGGGGTCATTTTAAATGTTCCCAGTTACATTAGCTTCTGTAGTTGGATAGATTGCCAGTTGAGATCTTTTGCGTATAGGATTACCATAAAATATTTTTTGAACAAAATCAGGTAACCGAGGCTCTCTGCTAAAAAAAATTTTTTTTTCAAGAACATAGATGAAAAGAGCATATAAGGGATTTTTATCACCAAAGGAACTTGTGAGGCTTGTTCTGGGTTCGTTAAGAGATTTTCCAAACATAGGAGAATGGACAGATTGAGGTAGCATACACTAATATGGTAAATTTAGGAAGAGTGTGGAGAGAGAAGAGAACATGATCGTTTGAGACATCCAGGTGGGGAGATGTCCAGCTGGCACGGGAAGCGTGCTGTCCATGGTCAGGGGACTTCATTGCTGGAAACAGAAGGGGCAAATAAAGCCATCTGAAGCTTTTACATGTTCACATCCCCTCTGCCTGACGCATTATGCTTCGTAGATATTAGTTGAATAAATTAATAAAAACAGTGGAGACAAAGTGGACAAAAGCTTGGAGTTAGCAGCAAGTAGGGAGGGCAGAAGAAAGGCTGAAATCGGGGCATTCATTAAGGGTCTAGCTACAAAGTAGTTTGGGAGGCTCTTTGGGGGAATTCTCCAGAGCACACACACACTCAAAAAAAACTGATGTAAGAGGGCCCAGCTGCTGGTTAGACGAGAGAGCCACGTCTACTTGTTAAGATACTATATATTATAGAAAACAGTGACTTCTCTTGTAAGCCCTCGATTGAAAATGGAAGAGAAAAAAATAAGATACAGGATTAATTTAGGAGATCTAATCTTCAACGAATAGGAGTGGCAAAAAGAAAAACAGAAAAATCGCAAAGAAATGAAATCAATTCAGATGAAGTCCCATTAATCAGCGAGCAGGATAAATAAAACAAGAATGAAACCTATACACATTCTAAAACTTTTCAAGGAGAAAAGTATAAGTTACTTACAAAAGAACAAAGGATTCAAATGGCACCTGACATTTTTTTCAGCAATGTATTTCTGAGAGAATGAGTTTAGGATGTACTCCAACAAAAGAGCAAAGTCGGAAAGATGGAAGCCAGTGGACCCAATGCTAAAGAACATTGAAGTCCCAAGACAGCTGTGTAGCAGGCATAGAGAACAACTAGTCCAAATTGGAGTAGGAGGAGAAAAGGGTTCCAAGAGAGATGCCTTTGAATTAAAGAGGAAA